GTACAAATACCTCTTGTTCTCAGCCCCACATGGAGTTGTTCCAGATGGTTCAATATGACGAGAGCAAAGTTAGAGAGAAGAGAAGATCAGGCACTGTCAGACCATCAGATCTTAGAACAGTTTGACAGTCACCGTATCCTTAGTTTATCATGGAATGACCTGGGTGGGAAGGGACCTCAAAGATCATCGAGTCCCAACCCCCCTGCCCTGGGCAGGGACACCTCCCACCAGACCAGGTTGCTCCAAGCCCCATCCAGCCTGGCCTTGAACCCCTCCAGGGATGGGGCAGCCACAGCTTCTCTGGGCAACCTGGGCCAGGGTCTCACCACCCTCAGAGTGAAAAATGTCTTCCTAATGTCTAATCTAAGTCTCTCCTCTTCCAGTTTGAAGCCATTACCCCTCATCCTATCACTACACGCCCTTGTAAAAAACCCTTCTCCAGCTTTCTACTAGGCCCCCTTTAAGTACTGGAAAGCTGCTATAAGGTCTCCCTGGAGCCTTCTCTTCTCCAGGCTGAACAACCCCAGCTCCCTCAGCCTGTCCTCACAGCAGAGGTGCTCCAGCCCTCTGAGCATCTTCACAGCCCTCCGCTGGACCCCTTCCAACAGGTCCACGTCCTTCCTGTGTTGAGGACTCCAGAGCTGGACACAGAGCTCCAGGTGGGGTCTCACCAGAGCAAAGGGGCAGAATCACCTCCCCAGATCTGCTGGCCACATTTCTTTGATACAGCCCAGGATGGGGTTGGCTCTCTGGGCTGGCAGTGCACATTGCTGGCTCATGTTGAGCTTCCCATCCACCAGCACGCCCAAGTCCTTCTCCTCAGGGCTGCTCTCCAGCCATTCTCCGCCCAACCTGTATTTGTGCCTGGGATTGCCCTGACCCAGGTGCAGGACCTTGCACTTGGCCTGGTTGAACTTCACGAGGTTTGCACAGGGGTCACCTCTCCAGCCTGCCAGGTCCCTCTGGATGACATCCCTTCCCTCCAGCGTTATCAACCGCACCACCCAGCTTGGTGTCATCAGCAAACTTGCTGAGGGTGCCCTCCATCCCACTGTTCAGCCCAGCCTACAGCCACCCATGGACCTGCAGCCCCCTCAATGCTTTCACGCTGCTCAGAAAGCACTAGGGGGGTCTTTGACCACCAGCTCAACTGGAGAGGTGCTGAAGCCCACAGAAAGAAGTGCAGCTCCTCTGCTGGTACCCACCTCACTGAGACTCCACCACTCCCTCATGTAACCACCCACAGCTGCCAGTGGTTCCAGCAGATGCCCTGGGAGGCAGTGGGGGCCCTTCCTACCTCCCAGAGAGACCCACATCTTCTTGAGGAAGGGGAGACCACATTAGGGACCACGGGCAAAATGATTTCCAAACCAAAACAAAATCGAAACAAACAAGCCAAAAATTCAAAACAAGCATGTAAAAGAATCAAAACAAATAAGCAAAAAAGAGAACACAGAGAAGTATTCCCTGTTTTACCAAAATTCAAGGCATTCTCTTCAAAAATCTGGTTTTCCTGCAAAGGCCAACTGACATTTTCCATCAACTCCACCATGTGGAGAAGCTGATCTACAGAAACAGGAATTCGGGTAGCACAAGCTCCAAGGTAAGACACTGATGGAATAGCTTGTCCTTTTCTGACTGATGCTTCTTGACTCTGTTTTTCAAAACCAGGGTGCCGTGACTGAGGCTGTGCTGGCCACCAAACCAACGACAGATGTTTTCTGTTAACCCCTCTCCCTCCCCAGAATGCAGGGAGAGACTTAAGGATTTGAAAAAAAACCCCTAAATCCACTTGAATGAAATATTAACAATAAAAAGCTGATGGTATTAATAAGAAAATATTGAAATATATACAAACATAGCAGCCTTCCAATATCTGAAGGGAGCTACAGGAGAGCTGGGGAGGGACTCTTTGTCAGGGAGTGCAGTGACAGGACAAGGGGGAACGGTTTTAAATTGGAAGAGGGGAGATTTAGATGAGATACCAGAAAGAAATTCTTTGCTGTGAGACCCTGGAACAGGCTGCCCAGGGAAGCTGTGGCTGCCCCATCCCTGGAGGGGTTCAAGGACAGGCTGGATGGGGCTTGGAGCAACCTGGTCTGGTGGGAGGTGTCCCTGCCCAGGACAGGGGGGGTGGGACTTGATGATCTTGAAGGTCCTTTCCAACCCAAACCATTCTGTGATTCTATGAACTTGCCAATGGTTTCAAAACCTCAGGTCCCCGAGTCCCACTGGAACTGCTGTTGGTGCTGAGGATTTATACTCACAGGGGGGGAAAAAAATAAAGAAAATAACCTTGTAATTTCAGGTAGTCGGAAGGTTCAGAACAGCCTGTACTTCTTGGCAGGGCCAGTTATTCTTACGCCACATACTTGACAGGAATTGGCTTAAGGAAGTCCAAGTAGCAGCCATACAAAAGAAGGAAAAAAAAAAAAAAGGGATCTAAAGTATGATAAAGATCAAGAGGAAGATGTGTGTCTACGATGGGAGCAGCAGTATAATTAGGTATTTGCATGTGTTCCCTGCTTCGCTCCTACACTGAAACATCAAGTCCAAACCTGCAGCATTTTGAAGATGGGTTCCCAATGATTTTGGTCACTCTCCAGCTGCCAGCTGGGCTAGGGAGGAGGCAACAGCAATACCTTCCTAACCAGTTGGTCAGAAACCTCCCAGCTCTGGGAGCCCGTTTCCCCCCAGCTCCAGCAGGCACTGCAAGGGGTGGTGGGGACACATCTCCTACTCACTCATTTCTGTGTCTGTCAAACCACCCCGACTCCGGACGGACGCACATCCAGACGGGACTTCTGACACCCTCAGGTCTTCAGGCACATCTTGGCAGAAAAGAGAGCTCACAGCAGAATCTAAACGAGATATTTAATATATATATATTTAATATTTTGGCCAAAGCATTGTCCTGCAGTCACACTGGGGTTGACACTTTGCTATTAAAAGTGGGGCTTTCACACACAAGAACTCGCCGAGGTCTCCTTTTCAAGCTGATGTCAGCTTGAATTTTCTCCCCCTCACCCCTCTTATCAGCTTGGCCACTAAGCCTGAAGTAATCAAATCTCTTGATGCTCTTCTGTTTGACAGCGCTCCTCCCCTGATGAGGAAACCAGAAATGCTGAGGGAGTAGGTATTTTGGAGATGTTGCACCAAATGAATAGCTGGAAACGCCAAGCAAAACACTGCTGGAACAGTTTATTTCCAAAATAAAACACAGGGGCCAGTCTAACTTATAACCGTTTAATGTAAATCACTCGAGAGTTTACACATCATTAATGGCAAAGTAACACTGTTAAAACACCCGCTGGATGAAATACAGAATAAAGACAACTCTCTTATATTATATGGCATAGTTTAAAAAACAAAACGAAACACAAAAAAAAAAAAAAAACCCAAAAAAAAAAAAGAAAAATTTTTTTTTTTTTTTTTTTTCAGTTTTTCT